AATATAGTCATCACCCCAAGCAGGAGGCTGGAAAAATTCAGGTGCAGAGCAGGTGGAGGTGAGAGCCAGGACTAGAACAAGAGCAGCTGCCCCACTCTGTGCTGCTGAAGCTGTGCCTGCTCTGGAGAACCACGAGGCTACTGACCAAGGCCAAGGCTGTGGTGAGGTCAGCTGTGCTGCTAAGCTCAGGGTCTCCTCTGGTGCCTTGGCTCTGTGCTGGAAAGTGCTCTCTGCTCTTTCTGTGGCTTCTGATGGTGAAGGCAGGACAAAACCCTGGGTCCTGCAGGGGTTTTCTAACAGGTGTGTTTGTGAGGGCAGTGCCAAACCATGGCAGATACTGGGAGCCACTGGTCTGCTTTTGCCCACAGTGTTTTGACAGCAGTGTCTGGTTTGCAGAACCTGTCTGTGCAGGTGTTGCTTTCGTTGTGCTCAGTGACCAGGCTGTTCTTCTATCACACCTATCACAATAACATCTCAGCACTTTTGAGAAGTACATGAGGTGATGTGATTGCTATCCCATGTGGAGTGCTTGTTCTCACAGCCTCCCCAGTGGGAAGAGTACATATTTTAAAGTGCTTTGCTTTGTACTTTAATACCCATGTAGGCTAAGGAGGGCAGGGCAGGGGACAGAGAGGTTTGAGGTTATGTGGTTGTTCCTGAGTGGTTTCTTCCCACAGTCCAGAGGGACTCAGGAAAGTCCCAGCTCCTACACAGGGATACTCTGCCCTCGTTTTTGGGGCTGCTCTGTCCCAAGGAGCTCAGCCATGGCTCCCCTGCCTCCCTTCCCCATCCTGCCCAACATTTGCTCTTCTCAATGTGTGGAGGAGAAACAGCTTGAGCAGCAAGAGATGGTGCAGACATGGGCAGGTGCTTCTGGAGCTGCCAATTAGCCACTTTCAGGTTATGCCAGTTGGAGTGAGAAATTGTCCTTCAGCAGACTCCTGCTGCTGTGATGGAGGAGAGGGACAACATGGGCAGGTGCTTCTGGAGCTGCCAATTAGCCACTTTCAGGTTATGCCAGTTGGAGTGAGAAATTGTCCTTCAGCAGACAGTCCTTCAGCTGCTGTGATGGAGGAGAGGGACGAGGAGGAGGAGGCTGGGCAGGGAGAGAGGCAGACAGGAGTGGTTTGGAAGAGCTCCTAGTAAAGGAAGAGTCAACCTGGCAGTGGTTTCTCTTACCCCAGCATGGCATTCTCTGCTGAGCAGCTTCCCAATAGCCACCAAAGCCTCTGTGCTGCCATTTTCCCTTGCCTCCGTGGAAAGGATCCTGGAGAGGAGACATCATTCCTGTTTCTCCTCAATGGCATTCTGCAGAGCAGATTGGACAGTCCTTCAGCCCTGAAGAAGAGCCCTTTGAGCTGTTTCCAGAGGACCCAATCTCTTTGTGGCAGCAGATGTGGGATCGATTGAAGTCCATTTGCTTGGTGGTGTTAGATGTGGAAAACTTGATGGAAATGTTCTAATGCACTTTTCAATTCCAAATATGTGGTAGGATTTATGCAATTTATGCTACCTAATGCAGGAGCCATAGGAGAGCCTTGGAGCAAAGTGTTCCCAGGCTCTGGTAGGTCCATGGTGATGCCTCCAGCCATGTTCTCACCAGGACTTTGACTTAGAGATTAAATATCTCAGCAGTGCAGAACAGATCCAAGGCTGGCTTCAGCTTCTGCCGCATTATTCATGAGTATGTGAAAGCTCTGAAAAATGTGACAGACTTTGGGTTAGGTGCTCAACACAGCATTGCTTCTCATGAGATGAAATGTGAGCATGTCCCTCTCAGACAGGAATGCACACGTTGAAAGCTGTGGGATAATGGCATATATAAAGGGAAGGTGAAGTCTTTGCTGTTCTGCTGGTGCTGGGTTTGTTTTCACTTTCCTGCCAAGAGGATCGCTTCTGCCAGTGACCTGCAAGCACCCACAGCCATGGCAGCATGGTGCAGAGCAGTTTGAAAACATTTGAATTGCTTTTGCATGGGGTTCTGCAAGGCCAGGTTTTGTTGGGAGTGCAGAGGACCAGGAGCCCCTCCAGGCCCTCTGGAGAGGCCACACTGGCAGCACAGAGTCTCCTTTTTGCCGAAGTTCCTCAACAAAGAGGTCAAGTGGGGATACAGCTCACATTCCCTTTTTCTGCCCTGTGCTCAGTCCACTCAGGTAGTGATGTGCAGGGGCTCAGCACCACTCCTAAATCTCTAAAACATTTTGGCCTTGTCACTGAGGGTGGTTGTGGGACCCTCAGGCTGGGAGGAGGAGTGAGGGAGAAAGGAGGGATGCTCAGAGGCCCCAAGAGTTGTGTGTGTCATGGGGAAGACAACATGGCAGGGCCCTAGTTTCTCTTACATACTGATGAAGCTCTGTACTTTCCTAGTGGGAAAGGGTTTGGTCCTGTTTCTGAGAAATAAGTGTGAGTTTTCCTCTTGGTTTGCATGAGAGCAGGTCTGGGAATGAAGTTTCCATAAAGGGGACTGTTGTACATGTGGCTGTTTTGTCCACCTGGGCTTATGCTGCTATAAAAATCAGTAATTGCTTTGTACTGAAGGCATGTGAAGGTCCTGAGGCTCGGGTCCAGCCTTCCCCACATCCCTGTGTACACAGCAACTGATCTCTGCTTTTTAATTCTCTATTCACAAACACATGCCTGGAACAGCACTTTGGCAAGGTACAAAGCTGCTGTCCCAGCCCTGTGTGTGCTGGGGAGATGTGCTGCATCCAGCAAACAGGTCTATCTGGCCATGCCTGAGCCCAGGAATCTGGTCTGGGTGCTGCTGCTGGTTGTTTTCAGCCTGCATGTGAGGTGTGTGTGCCTGCAAACCCTGTCTGAGCCTTGGGAACGCAGTCCCAGCTGAGAATGGGGTGCAGCCTGGAAGGTGCTGGGGCTGCATCCCTGGGCTGTGTTCTGGCACCTCTGCCAGTCCAGGGTCACAGGCACTGCTGCCTCCTGCAGATGTGAGAACAGCATTTGTCTGGGCTCTGCTGCTGTGTCCAGAGCCTGTGTGAGTGAGGGGCAGCTTCCACCAGCAGCTGCCAAGGACAGGTCTCCTTTTCTCCAGGCTGAGCACCCCCAGCTCCCTCAGGGGTTCCTCTCAGGGTTTGTGTTCCCAGCCCTTTGGTGCTCTCCACTCTGCACTGGCCAGCTGGCAGGAGGAGCTGCTCCCTTCCTTCTCCTGGGGAGAAGATGGGAGCAGCCGGCAATGCATTTTTGGGTTGTCAGTGGAGAGGTGCTTATATTGAAGAGCAAAGTATTATTGCTCTTGTACAGTCCTGGCTTTGGTGAAACCAGATGGGTTTGAAGTAAATATGGAGTTCCTTTGTCAAATGTAATTAGAAGCTGAAATTCTTGTGTTTGAAGTGCTGTGAGTAATCCTCTGCTTTCTTGCTTTCTGAAGAAACCTTTTTTTTTTTTTTTTTTTTTTTTTTTTTTTTTTTAGTGAATACTAGTGACTTGCAATGGATTCCCACAGTACTGGTTGGATAGAGGACAAGGAGGTCATATAAAAAGTCACCATTGGTTTGAAATGAAGGTAATGAAAAATGAGTGCCTTGTACTAAAAGTGTTGCTGGAGATTGTTGGCCAAGTATTGCAGTCTCACTTTCCTATTTTTAAAACTCTCTCACCAGCTGTGATGTGACCCTTCCCTCCACACCCACAACAGAAAAAAAGCCCTTACTGATTAGAAACAGGAAATAATAAAACTCACTAACCACAGAGTATTTTCAAAGACACAAAATAAACAAGTATAGATAGTGGGAAATAGATATTTCCTGCTGATCTCCTTTCAGCACAGTAACCATAGCTAATAATTATAGTCACTGGGGATTTATAGCTTTTAGAGGGAATGTATGCTTTTAAGATGATGCTGTCAAACTGCAGTAAAATATTTTCATCAGAGTCTCTCCCAGCATAGCAATAAGGTGGCCACAAGTGTCATGAGATGCATTGCTGACATCTTTTAGAAGTACGAGAGCACTTCTGGAGTAGGGAGCTGCTCTCCTTGCTGGTCACACTGGGGTGAAGTGGAGGTTCCCCTGCTGGGTGCAGCTGTGGGGGCTCTCATGGGATGGATTTTTATCTGAACTCAGCTGTATTTGTGACAGTAAACTGGGAAGAGCTTTAATGACTTTTCTCTCCAGGATTGTGCAGTTTTCTTTGCCTGATTGGTTTCTCTCCCCATGAGTATTCTGTGTGCTTTGCTGACGTGGTTTGCTTGGGGTGGCCCCACCTCCTACTCTCCTCTGGAGCTTTGCAGCGGGATGAGGATGATGTGTGTTTTTCACAGTGGCGATCATTCCAAAGGGCCCCATCAGGAAAGGGAGAAGTCTTCATTTTCTGCAGAGGGTGGAAACTGAGGTTGATGTCTGTGCAATTCTGTGTCTTTACCTGGTGTCTGACCTGCCTTGCCTCCTTGCAGCCAGGCATAGGCCAGTTGTTTCCCCTGCCACCCTCATGCCGCTGCTCCTAATGGCACTTCGAGAGGGCTGGATATAAGGGAAGGCTTCCCAGGAAAAGATGCTAAACCCGGAGGTGCTGGTTTTCACTCCTTCAGCACCTCATCCAATGGATCTCGCTGCATAATGAGCCCCTCCGAACTGCGGGCGGTTCATTAGTATGCTCCGTGTTTGTTTAAGAGCTCCCTGCTCTTTTATTGCTGCTGTGAGCAACTTCTAACTGCCTTTGAGATGAAAAACGGGCACCAAATGTTGCCAGCAAGTGAACAGATTTGTCCCAGTCTCCTCGGTCCAGTTCGCAGGGAATTTCACCCTCTGCCCTCTAGATGATCTTTGTGACTCAGTTATCAGTAAAAGCTAAAGCATCCATCCAGGCTGATAAATCCAACTCCCTATTTCCTTCATAACTTCTAAAGTGTTCCTGTGACCCAGGCAAGGCTGTCTGTGTGGGGGGAATGCTGCTTTCTTACAAGGTGTCAGGGGCAGCCCCAAACCAGCCCTTTCAACTGCACCGAGGAAAAACTGTTTGTGAAAGAAGAAGCAAATAAAAGCAGATGCTCAAACACTCTTTATTCAGAGCACACGGGACAAGGCTGGGAGAAATGTCAGTCGTTGTCTTCAAAAGGTTTATTTAGAACTTTTAGTTATGGAAACAAACAAAAAAAATCCCTAAATACAACTATATGTAACATATATATATATATATATATCTTATGTACTCACAAGCTTGTGAGAGAAATGTCAGGCTCGGAACAGCAAAAGCAGAGAGCATTTCTAACCAGCCTAAAAAGTCCAGACCTAAAAAGTCTCTCCCTTTTTCTCTCTCTCTTTTTATTTTTTTTTCCCTCCTCATAATTGCAGCATTTTAACAGGAATCTCCTACACTGCACAGGGATGACATTAAAAATAAAAAGCGGTTGCTTACCCTTTTATCCAACAAAGGGATCTCAATGGCTTATGTGAGATCTGAGGAGGTAAATTTGATGCCAGAGAGGTTTGTTGCTTGTTGTCTTGTATTTTTATTAATAGAAAGTTAATTATTTTAGAATGCAAGACAAGAAAACTATATAATTATTATACACTAAAGAGCACGAGAGGATTCTAGACAATAATTTAGATGTATTAAATAAATAAAAAAATAATAGCAGCCTTCTACAATGCAGGCTACACATAGGTTTACTTCGGCTTGAAGTACCCAGGTCTTTAGTACACCTACAGGAACAGATTTGCTCCACAAGTGTTTTAAAGAAACATATCTATAAGATACATACATAAGAGTGTCTAAGGTTAGGACAAAAATTGAAAACGCACTTTACCACGGTCTCCACATATCTAATGACCCCATTCTGGGATTGTTATGGGAAAAATTTGGCTGCAGAACCTGTCTGGGAGGTGCAGCATCAACCTGGTTGAAAAGAGACAGCGAGGGCAGCTGGAAGGAATTTTTGGAAGCTTGCTTGTTCTCCGCAGGGTAGAGGCGCTCCTGTGGCGGGTTTGTGCCTCGAGCGCTGCCCTTAGGGCTCAGGGGACTTTTCTGCGTCGGGAGAGGCTGCTGGGACGGGCTCCCGGACCTGAGCGCTGCTTTGCAGGTGTCCTCCCCGGAGCGGGGCAGCGATTTGAGCAGGTGGTTCAGGAGGCGCGCCCCCAGGCTCTTGTCCATCCACTCGCAGGTGAGCAGCAGGTTGTGCACCTCGTGCATGCACTGGATGTAGCCGGTGCTGTACCTCTGCTGGGCCTCCAGACCCACCTTGGAATCAGCTGTGCGGGACAGGAGACAAAGGGGGAGCGGGGGAGAGTCACCTGGGTGCTCACTGCTGAAGCCTCTGGGCTTTAGAGATGCTTTGTTTGCGGGGGGAAGGTGAGCAGGGGGTGATCCCTGTGCCCTACTGCACCAAAAGGCAGGAATCGGCTCTGGAAGGAGAAAACGCCTTCCGCGGATTAAGCAGTGCCCGGCTCCATCTCCCCATCTAGTGGAGAAAGCCAAAGCCGGCGGCAGCCTGGGCCCGGGCGGTCTGAAAGGCGCTTGTGCCAGGCTGCCAGGGGATCAGGCCCGCTGGCATCGGGTAAGGGAGCGGGCACAGGGCGAGGGACCGGGCACTCACCCATCATCTTGCTGCTCTGGATGTTCTGGAGGTGCTTCACCGTCATTTCCAGGATGTCTGCTTTTTCCAGTTTAGACTGCTGATAGGGAAAGAATGCAGCAGTTAGAGGCAAAGAGGAGTTTGCACCATGCCCAGTTTCTCTAAAGATGAGGCATTTCCCTTCCTCCCCCCACAACTCAATTTCCCACCAGCAGAAGGACAAAAAGCAGCATAAAACGAGCACTTACATCCAGGTGAAATGCACCCACAACAGTCTCCTTCAGCTGGTCTAAGCAGTTATTAATCCTTTCCCTTCGCTTCCGCTCAATGAGGGGTTTCCTTAACTGGCAAAGAGAAGGAGCAGGAAAAATCTCAGTTGATATTTTAATTTCCTGTCCCTGCTGCAGTCCAGCAATGCCAGAGATTCCTTCCCTGTGTGAAGCCAGCACAGGGTGATGCAGTGCTCAGCAGGGACAAGGTGTGGATGGAGTGTGTGCCCATCCCTGAGGTGGCATCACCTCTCCCTTCTCCCACTTCCAATCCTTTCAAACACAGAAACTCATTTCCCCCGATCAAAATAGAAAGGAGGCATAGAAAGGAAGCAGAAAAATACCCACAGGAGTCAAATTCAGAGAAAACATCTTTCTAATGGGAGAAGAAGTGTTGTCCCCTTCCTGTGTCCTGGAAGCAGTGGCCCAGCACCCCTCATTGACATGCCCAGCTCAGGGGACACTTACCTTCCTCTCCTCCTTGGTGCTGGCGACCTTGTGCGTGCCTGTGGTGGCCGTGGCCGTCATCCTGGTCCAGGCAGCCGGCCCAGCTCGGCAGGACGGGATGGGAAGGGATGGGATGGGGATGGGAAGGGATGGGAAGGGAAGAGAAGGAGGCGCTCGGGCAGTGGCTCCCTCCCCTTCCAGATGGGCTCTTTGCTGCTCCGCTGCTCCTCGGCTGTATTTATAACCCCAAATTAGCATTTGAAAAGCAACTTTCCTTGGCGGGACTTCTTTTCCCACACGAGGGGTCGAGCCCGGAGGTTTGTGGCCATCAATCAAAGCTGACAGGTCACTGCTTCTTTTCAATGACCACGCCGGCCCCCCCAAACGGCGACAGATGTCCAGCCTCCGACGCTGGGCTTTGGAGGGATCCTTTGTTCGGGAAGAAGGGGAGGAAAATGGGCGCGCTCGGAGCAGCTTGCACGGCTCCTCGTTCAATTTGCACAGATTCCCAGGGAGGGACACAATAGCCGGGAAGCGGTTGAATTACACCTGGGAAAATGCCTTCTACTCATCTTTTTCTCCTCTATCTCCTTGAAGCCATGCCTATTTTTACCTGCTAACCTGACCCCAGTCGTTTCACATCACTGTAACAGCCTCTTAATTTAATAATAGAGTACTTCAGCTAGGAGTTCCTGCTCCCAGGGATTCTTATTACAAGGAAATGATGATCGATTAAAAACTGTTGACAGCAGACACCTGAAGGAAGGTTGTTTCCATCACATAAATCCTCTAAGGAAAACATGGGAACTTTATTTACCTCCTGGGAACCTGAATTATCTGTTGCACCTGGGTGGATGTAGGTAATATGTAACTCTTCTAGTTTTTGGCTGCTCTGCAGAATTTAATATTAAATTTACACGGTATTGAAGATGCTGACAAACCTAGAGGTGAGTTAGTCCTGTGGAAGCTTTACTTCTTTGGGTTTTTTCCCCCTTTTATGTGAGAAAGGGGGTTTGTCTGTTTGCTGCTCTGGAATGCTGGGGCAGGGGATGAGGGGCTTTTTGAGGAGGCTTGGTGTGAAGTGAGAACACACTTTTATACCTCCTCACTTCTGCCTGGCTTGGGGGAGAGCATGAAGGCGTTTTCATGACCTTGCATTTGCTTTCTGAAGCTGCTTTGCTAATGAGCAGGATTTGGCAGTGTCCTGTTGAGTCCCACAGGTGAAGCCCTTTCGATTGGTGTCGCATGTGTCACCTTATTGAAGTGGAGAGGAAGCAGCTGCAGCGGTTCAGAAGCACTGTAAGCCCTCCCAACGCACTGGGGGGATTTCCCAGCTCCTGGGAAAAAAAAAAATTATTCAAATAAATAAAAAATAACATCAGCATTCCACAATGCAGGCTCCGCATAGGTTTAATTTGGCTTGAAGTACCCTGGTCTTTAGTACTCCCACAGGAACAGATTTGTTCCACCAGTGTTTCAAAGAAACATATCTGTAAGATAGATGGTGCTGTGGCTGCAGAGCCCTCTGCCCTCCCAGCTCTGGGTGGGGATGTTCCCAGTGATAGCAGCGAGGACATCACGCTGTTCCTTGCTCAAGCACCGTGTGGGTGTGAGTGTGTTTGCTTGTGTGTCAATGCAAACATACTTGCAGCACGTCTGCACGCCCTGCTGCCTGCGCTCATCACCAAAACATGTCCCCAGCCATGGGACCTGGCAGGCAGAGGCTGTCACATGCAGAGCTGGGGTGCAGTTCCTTGGTTTTATAAGTGCCCTACTTTGGCAATAGCCTGGGACGAGCTGGGGTTGTGCTGTGAGAGGAGGATTGGGAGGGGAAGGTTCATAACTTATCCTTTGTGTCAGGTAAAGGGGTGGGATTCTTATCTCTGGTGTGCTGTCTTCAGAGACAGCAAAAGGAGATCCCACCACCCCCATGCAGGAGGTCCTCACATCAGCCAGCCCAGGCTCCTCACCTGTGAAGACTCTTTTGGTTTTCCAAGCTTTTTCCAGTCCAAGGAAATGGATTGTTGCTGATATTTATAAAAGGTGTAGCTGAAGCCACCTGATTCCAGCAGCTCGGCCTGGAGGAGGCAGGGCTGGGCTGGGGCAGGGGGCACAGAGCCCACTGTGTTTTGTGCCCAGGCTGGCAGTGCCTGCCCATCTCCCTCCACCTTGTGCAGAGAGCAGCACCTTCCCAAGGCACCCAGGGCAGCAGTGAGAAGCTGAGATCACCTCAGCTCCTGGCCCAGCTGAGCACGGCAGGGGTGTCAGCAAATCCAGAATTACCCAAAAGCTCTGAAAAGTGTGTCCTGTGCCTGCTGGCACTGCTGCAGAGTGTAGTGTGTGCCCTCCTTGTTGGTGGCACCAGAGGCTGGCCAGCCCCCGGTGCCACCAGGAAAGCTCTCAGAGTCTGTGATGGCAGCACCTCCTTCCTCGCCCTCTCTCCTTCCTTGACCCCTGCTCGTGGCTGCTGCCTTGCCCTCCCTCCTGCCCCCTTTGCCCTGCGAGCTGCCCCGAGCTCCGGGGCTGTTCCCCGGGACCACCAAGCGAGGCGGTGGCCAGGGGGACACGGCTGGCAGGGGAGGCCACGGGCAGCGGGGTGGCCCCGGGTGCCCAGCCGGGCATCTGAGCCCTTGGCTTGCCCACGGGCATCTGCTGCGAGCGAGCTCATTTCAAGGTTCATTTGTAAGACAGCGCCGCAGTGAAAAAGAAGAGCAGCTTTGGCTGTAAACAGTTATTTTACACCTCTCAGTCACGGCAAAAGCCTTTATTTCGGAGGCGGGGGTGCGGGCGGGAGAGCTGCCCTGGCTTTGGGCAAGGCTGACATCTGTGCCGGGGATTGCAGGGACCCAACAGCCCCATGCTAATGAGCATTACAGGAGCTTTCTGCGAATTCCCGCTTTCCTTTTGCGTTGCCACTGCCAGGTTTCACTGAAAAGGGGATTCTCCTTTGTAAACAAAGCCTCCTTTTTTTCCTGAGCTTTCCAAAAAAAAAAAAAAAAAAAAAAAGAAAAAAAGAAAAAAAAAAAAAAAAAAAAAAAAAAAGGAAAGAGAGAGGGGCAAGCGCTCCTTAGAGTTTTGCGGGGTTTTTTTGGTTTTTTGGTTTTTTTTTTTTGCTATTAGTCTGCACTTCACACTCCGGAGAAAGAAAACAACTTTTAACATCTGTTCCTGCAGTATTTAAGAGGGAAAGAAAGGCTGTTGAAAAGGGAGAAAGTGTGGCAGATGTTGGCAGGTTCCCTCGGGCGCAGATGTCTTGCTCCGAACAGGACTTTCCTTGGGGAGCGGCGGCCGGGGCTCCTCTGTGGCTCGGGACACGCGACTGCCGAGCGGGCGGGGGACGTGGGAAAGCTCCGCCGAACAAAGGCGCTTATTCAAACAAACCCGAGAGCCGTGAACAATCTAATCACCAGCAGAGAAATGGTCAGCAGCCCCCGGCCCCGCCACGGAGGGCTTGGGGGCAGCCGGTGGCCACGGGACGCGGGAATTTGACCGGGCTGCAAGCGGAGTGTCCCTTCCTTGCCCCTGTGCTCCCTCTGGGGCATCCAGCACGGAGCTGTGGCCAGGGATCAATCCTTGCTGAGGTGCTCTGCAGCCCGGCTGCCTCACGCAGCAGCAGAGGGGATGGAGGGCAGGCACCTCTGGGCTGGCCAGGGCTGTCCCACACTAGGGACAAGGCAGCACCAGAGGAGGGACTGTGGGATAGCTTTGATTAGGCTTTTATGAAAGAGTTTCTACCAAGATAAGAATAAGAATAAGGAGGAGGAGGAGAAGGAGCCTCCAATCCCATTGATTACGTCTAGTTGAAATAACCTTGTAAAACTGACCTTGTTAGGGAAAAAATTTATTTTAATGGAAACAAAAATTTTGAGAGAACTTTTAATTCCCCTTCTTTCTGGCTGATAAAAAATAATTTAAAACAAGATTTTTCCATGAAAGCTGGTAATATTTCTGCTTAAGGACTTTGTAGGAAACAAGTGAGAAGCCCAAAGAAAAAGAAGCAGAGCCAAGAGAATTCACATAAGAGAGTAATTAACTCCAGTTTGATGTTAAAGCTGAGGAGCTCTGTGATTGTTCCTCTAGTTCCTGCGATTTTCAGCCTGCTTCATCTCTACCCCACTCCATTTTCTCTGGGTTCTGGGCAGGGCAGAGCTGCTCCTGCCAGCGAGGCTGCCATGTGCCAGGACAGCTCTTCCTCTTCCCTGCTCAGGGCCGGAGGGCAGAGCCAGGTGAGTTGAGCTGTGTTGCTTCTTTGGAGGCCAAGCATGGAGGCAAGGAGCCCAAACCCCTGCGGGGGGCATCAGCTGTGTTCCACCTGCCAGCAGAGCCCTTTCTGCATGGCAGTTGGGAAGCAGGAGGCATTTCAGCTGGATGAGGAGCTCCATGCTGCAGAAAGGATGCTGCATGTCCACAGAGACCCATGCACCCACCCAGGCTGGTCCCTCTTGCAGCTTGGGGTGATACTGTGGGCACTGACTCAGAACCTGACAGGGCTAACAAGGAGGCTTGTGCAGTACTGAGGCAAGCCCAAGTCCAACCTTGACCCTGGCTGGTTAATGAATGGCCTCGTTAAGGCTGCTCAGCCTTTTTCAGGGATGGATTTGCTGTGGGAGAGTGGGAGGAGAGCTGGGCAGGTTCCTGAGCACTGCTCAATCTGCAGTGTGGATCAGAAGGACTATTTGATCCCCCTTGTTTTCCAGGCTGGAGATCATCCAGGTTGAGTCCCCAGTTAAGAGACTGCTTGCAGCTGCTCTGGGGTGTGTCTGCTGGCTGGGTGTGTGGCTGTGGGTGCCTGGCCCCAGCAGTGCCCAGGAGGCTGTCAGAGGCAGCCTGTCAGGGGTCCTGCTTCAGGGTCCTGCCCCTGCCCCACTCCCAGTGTCTGTGGGTTTGCTGGGGCTGGTTTTCTGACAGCAGCTCTGCTTTCACCCATGATGTGGGCTCTGGGAAGTGAGGAGCAAAGCGCAGGGTAAGGTGGGGACAGCGGCTGCTGCCAGCACAGGCTGTGGGTTGGCCCTGATGTGCAGCCACAGAGTACCCTCTGCACCCTGTGTGCCCTCCCTCCACTCGGGCTCCAGGCCTCCCCTGCCATGAACAAGCACTCTCCAAGGAGAGGCTGCTTTACAGGGGCTTTACTCACTCTGAATAAAGAGGGTTTTGTCCAGCTTTTTCAGAAGG